CAACGCTTAATACTCGCTTTGAACGGCGTCTGTGTTTCGGTTGCGTGACGCCTTGTCGTGCGCTACGCGGCTCAGAACCGTTCATGTGTTTGGTAGTTGTTGTTGACGCTTTAGGCACCACACCCTTCCGAATATCCCACACGTGCTTGTTTCGGAATCACACGCGGAAAACAGAATTCGCATTCCAAGTTGAGGCAAATCTGGATAATACATCACCATGCTTCGAGAATCCCTACCATCTCATTCGGAACCCTTGCCCATGAGAGTTGACGGGAAAAGGGACGAAGCGACACATGTAGTGAAATTAAGCGGGCAAACAGGGTGAACAGAGAGATCTGTGGGATCAGCGGGGTGGCCTTGGAGGGCCTCTTCGGGTCATCCCTGGGGCCCGCGTGGGGGCGAGGGAAGGAGGAGGAGGAGGAGGAAGACGACGACGACGAGGAAGAGGAGGAAAAGGAAAAGGAAGACGATGAGAACAAGGACGAGGACGAGGACGAGGACGAGGCGAGGACGAGGACAGAGCCCACAAAGTCGTCTCTTGGAGCCACCTTGGGATTCGCTTGGGGGATGTTGGAGTCCCTTCGGGCTCTTTGGGGGTTGTTGGGGCCCTCTTGGGGCCATCTTGGAGGTCCCTTGGGAAGCCAGGAAGGCCTCTTGGGGCCATCTAGGAGTTCATCGATCAGAGGGGGGGGGTCCGAAATGTTCCTCCCACCTGGGGCCATCAGCCTCGCCTCTTGGCGCCCTCTTGGGAAGCTCGTGGGCCGCTCTTGGGCGCTCTTGGGGCCGTCTCGGGGGCCCCGTGGGCTCCCCTTGGGCCTCTCCTGGGCCATCTTGGGGCCCACCTGAGGGGGTTCAAAAACGCATCGGAAGCGACAAGGCTAGATGTCACAAATCAATGTATTCTAGATGTGGTTGCTGGAGTTTGGCCTCTTGGGGAGGTCATGAGGCGGCTCCGAGAGCACTTGGAACCGTTTTGTGGCCCTCGTCGGGCCTCTTGGAGGTATGTCATAAGCGATCTGAACCAACGTCGCACAACCAAGAACTTTCTTATCATGTTCTTCCTTCCCCACCATCCTTGTTCTTCTTCCTCCGGCTCCTCCTCCGCCTCCTCCTCCTCCTCTTCCCTCTTCCTCGGGTTCCTCTACCCGCCTCCTCCTCTTCTTCCCTCTTCCTCCACCTCATCATCCTCGTTATTCCTCCTTTCCTCCCCTTTATCTTGATAGTTGTTCATCCTCTGCCCCTCCTCCTCACCGTTTGCCTCCGTCCCGTCTCCTTGTCAACGCCTCCCCCCCCATGTCGCACCGCCAGACGTGTCCGTGGGCCGCGCCGTGCGTGTCGCTTCAGGCTCCGGTGCGTGGTACAGTCGGGGCCCTGAAGAAGGAACCCTTTTCGCTGGGGAGGGGCTCCGCGTTCCTTGAGTATTTCGCAGCTTGCCTCATGTTTTCCTGAGGGTTTTCAGGAAATCGAAGTTGAACTAATGGGAAAAGGGGCCTCGTTCCTTATTTAGGGTTCCTTAGGTCAACGCCCCGACTGTATCATCCCGACGTTTGTTCGGGCAGCTGCACGGGTGGGCAGCCCCTCGTCTTCGCCAGCGCGTCTCTCGCCGTGGCCCCTGCGCACACAGTCGTCCGGGAGGGCCGCGCCGACTGCGCGGATGGAGGCCCGCGCGGGTGCACCGGTAAACACGCCGGTCGTTGCAAGCAGGTGCGCTCGGATTCCCAGGCCCCGGTCTGCTGCAAGCGCCTGCCTACCTCCAGGGTGGGCCTGCTGCTGCCGTGCTCTGTGCTTCTCTGGGAGGGCCTGGGCCCGGTCTGCCAGATCCGCCCCCCCACCTCGTGCTTCGGCCTGCTTCTTCCGACCGACGCGTAAGTTATGCAGTGCCGTGGCGGAGCATGGCCACCATCGACTAGACGTAAGAGTGACCCTTCGCCGGAGTGACCTTTGGTGCGGGCACTGATGGGTCCTCAGATAGCTGAAAACGAAGCAGCAGCGGCTGCTTGCGCGCCCAGGTTTGGTCCCCCCGCGGCCCCCCCAAAGCCGCGCACCAAAGGTCACTCTTACCCAGGGGCACTCTTACGTATAGTCGACACCACGCCACCGTCGCACGGATGGCTCGGCGATGCCCTCTCGAGCAGGCGTTCCCGCCCGAGGCCTGCCGGGCGGCCGCCCCGCAGGCAGGGCCCTCTCTCTCCGTGCCCCGGCAGCACGGGCGGAGGGCGACGGTCCCTTTCTCTCTCTGCGGCGCGGTGGCCGTCGCCCGGCACGCCGCGGGGCGCGGCCGAGCAGTGCACCTCCTCTCGGGGCCAAGGGCGCCCTCGAGAGGGCGCGGAGTTATTCGCGCTCCGCGCTTCGCGCTTCGGCTCCGATGCCTCCTCGTCCTCCTCTTCTCCCCTGGGAGGCGGCGCGAGAGCGCGAAGCTCTTCGCGCCTCGCGCCTCGCGCTGCGCGGAGTGCGAAGTTGGGAGCCCCATGTGGAGCGGTGGTGCTCGTCGCTTGGCACTCCTTGGAGCTGGGCGGAGCGGGGCGGTTGTCGTCTGGCACTCCTCGGCGCTGGGCCAAGATTCGACCCTCGGGCCTGCTGCCTTTCTCGCACAGGGTCCGGCCCGAATCGGGAACGCGTGCTCTGCTAGGGGGCCACATGCGAACCCTACCCCTACCCCCCACGATTTCTGAGGGGGAGGGTGGGGTTCACTTCGTTCGGGAGCTCCTGAGAAAAGTGAGCCCCACCCTCCCCCTCGGAAATCGTGGTGGGTAGGGGTAGGGTTCGCATGTGGCCCCCTATCTGCAAAAGGGGGCTCGGTCCTTCCTTTGGTTTGCATGCGTTCCTCCATCTTTCTGGCGGCGAGCCCCCCTGGTGCTCCTTCAGACGATGGACGCGCGGGTCCGCTCCGTCGGACTTCGCAGACTTCCCTGGAAGACGAGGGGCCTCGTTCCCGACGTGTCGTTCCCTGGGTCAGGGCGAGCCCTGTGGGTCGAGGGATGGCGGGTGGCTTCTGCACAGGGAGAGCCCGCCCGGAAGGCGCGAGCCCACGCGGCGCCCGTCTTCCGAAGGGGGGGGGGGGATGGGCGCGTCGCGCAGAGAGGCGGCAGGGCTTCGGAGGACCGGATTGAGGAGTGGCAGCTGGACGGGAGGGCGGCTCTTTTGCAGCATCCTTGGTACACATGCTCGTTCTACTCTGCCAGTCCAGCCTCATCATCATCCTCATAGTCATCATCCTCATCATCACCATCCTCATCGTCATCACCATCACAATCACCTTTTTTCGTCATCACCAGCAGCAACAGCAACAACAACACCACCTTTATCGTTATAATAATAAGAATCATCATCATCATCATCATCATCATCATCATCATCATCATCATCATCATCATCATCATCATCATCATCATCATCATCATCATCATCGTCATCATCATCATCGTCGTCGTCGTCATCATCATCATCATTATCGTCATCATCATCATCATCATCATCATCATCATCATCAGTAGCAGCAGCAGCAGCATCAACATCATCATCATCAGCAGCAGCAGTAACACCATCATCATGGGTGACCATCGCTCGCAGGGAGGAGGAGGAGTTTCTACTAGCGTTTTGCGGTTGGCACCAAAGCACGGCTAGGCGCTAGGCCTTTTCAAGGTGCCAGCGGGGATACCGCATGCTCGACAGCAAGGGCAATGCGTGTGGTGCGGCGCTTCGCGTCGCCGAGAGAGGTTTCGGCAGCGCGCCAGCCACGTTACCACGCACAAGAAAGGCCCGGCCACACTGGGCCTTGCTCGCAGAGTTGGCACAGCTCGCCCGCCACGCCGGCGCCGAGGTGCACACAATGCGACGCGTGCCCGAATTGCACCAGCGCCTCAATGCCGACAGGCTTGCATTTGAGGCGGCCGCTCCCGAGCACAGGAAAACCGTACCTGACGTCGTCGTAGGAGCGCCGGCCGCCACACGTAAAACAGTGCTAGGATCGGGATAAATCGCTCCGGAGCGTTCGGGAGCGCTCTCAGAGCGTTCCGGAACGCTCTGGAGCGGCCGCGGCGCCCAACACCTCCTCCAAACCCGCCGATTCTCAGAGATTTCGAGTTATCCCGATCGGATTTTGTCCCGATCTTCGCGTCGTTTTAACGCGTGCAGGACTGTGGGGCGCGGCGATCCGCAGCCCACGCGCGGCGCGGCAGGGTGCGCGCGCACGATGTGCGGCGGCCGCGGCACGCCCCCGGCCTGGCGGGGGACGAGGCCGCGAGGCGCGGCCGGGAGGCTGCCGCGCTCAGCTATCGGAGCCGCACGGGTGCCGGCACGCGCAGGCCGCCGCGCTCCCGCGGGTGCGGGTCGCCGAGCGCGCCTCCATCGAGGGCGTGCGGCCCGGCGTCATGATCTTGGCATCGCTCGGACGTGTGCATTTTTGCTTCGGCGAGGACCATCGAGGAGCATCCTTTTGATCATTTGGCGGAAAAGCCACGCACGAAACCGAAAAACACGCAGGGAATGGACGTCCGAGCGATGGCCAGTGGTGCGGATGTGGCGCCGGCGGCTGGGAGCGTGCAGTGCGGACGGTGCGGGCCCACGCTGCGCTATGCTGCGTGGGCCTCGGGGCTGCCCACGCGCGGCGCTGTCCGCCCGGGGCAGCCGGCGGGCCTGCGCCGAGGGGAACGATGCCTCTGCTGGTCAGGCCTTTCCTTTTCACGTGCTGCTGCCCATCAGCGTCTTGATCCTGCATCTCTTTCTCCCTGAATTTCCTCCTCGGCCACCTTCCTGGCTCTTCCCGTTACCATGGCTACAGTGTTATACTCATTCTCTTGATTGTCTCCTCCTCCTCCTCCTCCTCCTTCTCCTTGCTCGTCCCTCCCTCATTTATCGTCTCCCTCTTTGTCATCTCTCCTACTCCTTCTCTTCCCTCCTCCTCGTGTCCCTGCGTCTTCCTTCTCATCCGCTCCCTCCTCCCCTTCCTCGGTTCAGTTTCCTCCCTTTCCTCCTCTCCATTCCAGGTCTCGATCGGCGGCATGCTTATCTTCGCCATGTTGATATCCCTGGTCACAGAGGCGTTCGAGAGTGCGCTGCGACACCTGCGGCACGGCTCGATTCCTGTGGTCGAGGTCGCTGTCGCCGTCGCCGTCGTCGTCGTCGTCGTCGTCGTCGTCGGCGTCACCGATCGAAGACCGACGATTTGGTGATGATTCGGCAATAGTTGGTTGGGCCTTTGGAAATCTTTGGGGGGTTCGATCGCTGCCTCCAGAGACCTGAGGAGGCCTCTGGGGACCTCAGGAGGCCTCTGGTCGCCATGATGTTCCAACCTATTTTAGCCTTGACCACCAGGAAGAATTTCGAGCGCCCGGAAAAAAGTACCGAAACTCAAGGGTTTTCACGTGTCGGGCCCTGGGAGACACTCGCCCGACACTGTTTCGACACTGTGTCGACACTCTTCTGACACTTTTCCGGGTGCTCGAAATTGTTTCTGGGATGTGGTCCTGAAGTAGGATGGGAACAGCATAATTCTGGTCGTCATCGTTGTCGTCGTCGCCGAGGGCAATCACACGGTCATCCTGGGCTGGACCGTCACGACACCGCACGTCATCGACGAGCTGTGCGTGGCGGCGGAGAGCTCCGGCGGCGAGTACATCGTCCTCCTGACGCCGTTCCCGAAGCCGGAGATCGAGCAGAAGCTGCAGGAAGCGGAGATCGACCTGAGGACGGCAAGCGCCTGTTGCGATGGGCCTGTTTTTCACCACCACCACCACCATACGTATGAGGGGGGAAGAAGGTGGAGGACGAGGAGGAGGAGGAGGAGGAGGAGGACCCCCTCTTCCTCCAACTTATGTAGGTGGTGGTGGAAAAGAAGCCCATCATGTTGGCCATCGCGCAGACGCCCCCCCCCCACTCCCGGGCAGCCCAGGCTTCGAGATGGTCGCAAGAGGGCCCCAGGAATGGCCCCCGGAGGGCCCCAGGAGCGCCCCTCCAGCACCCCAGCGGCGCCGCCCCAAGGGAAAGGCCCCCAGGGGCCCCCAGAGGCGCCGCCTCCCTCTGGCAAGCTCACAGTGTGGCCCGCCGAGGGCGTGGAGTTTTACCACCCTGGGGGCGGGCGCCACCAGAGGCGGCGCCCGACTTGGGCAGTGGGGCCCAGGCCACAGGACCGTCAGCAAAGAGACTCGAGACGAAAATAGTGTCTCGAGAAGGGGTAGAGGTCGCCGCTGGGGGAAGGGCACGTGGTGGTAACATCGGAGCTAATCACAACGCCGGGGGCCTGGGGGCGGGGGGCACCTTCTGGGGGCTGTCCGTGAGCGGCCTCAGCTTCTCTTTGGCGCCCAAGGAACTCCACCGTGGTGGTTCGCAGTGGCCAGGCCCACTTCAAGGAGGACCTGATAAGGGTCGCGGTCGAGACGGCGAAGCGCGTGCTGGTGCTTGCAGACCACCGTCTCTCGCACGAGGCCGCGGATGCCCAAAGCTTAAACGTGCTGCTGACGCTGAACCGCGTTCTGGCGGCGGCGCACGACGTGCCCGCGGACACGGCGGACACGGCGGACACGGAGCCCTCGGAGCAGCCCTCGATAGGGCCTTCGCCCTCAGGGAAACTTACGGCGGCGAGTGCTGCTGCTGCTTACGTGGTCGCCGAGTGCTGCCTCGTGCGGAACATAAAGCTGTTCAAGAGCCTGGCGTACGGCCGCATGGAGGTGCTCTGTACGCAGGACTTCGTCAGCCAGCTAGTCGTAGAGAGCTGCAGACAGCGAGGGATGTCGCACGTGATCGCTGAGATGATTGGGTTCAGAGGCAGCGAGCTGTACGTCGCGAAGGTCGACGGCCTGGAGGGCCGGTGCTTCTCAGAGCTTCAGCGCCTGCTTCCATTCGTCGTGCCGTTGGGGTACTCGGATGCCAGTGGAAATCTTGTTGTAGCCCCATCGCTCAGCTACACCTTCGCTGGAGGCGAGCAGCTGATCATGCTCGCCGAGGACAAGTCCACCCTGCCCACCGCGGTCCAGCGCCCCTGTGACGCCTCGAACCAGTCCAAGAACCTGCAGACAGTAAAACCAATCGGCACGCCAGTGCCGCTGCCGGAGGTGCGCTGTGAGTTGGCGACGGCTTTAGAGGACCCTCATCCGTCGGCAGGGTCCCGATCGTGGATAATCGAATGATGATATATCGATCGTTACGTGTAGGAGCGACCATCGGCGCGTTCTAGATCAGCGGGGCGTTTTGCCTCGTGCGGTGGACCGGTCCAGTTGAGTTGGATCAAGGTAAGGTTAAGACGGGCCTGTCCCTCTACAGGAGGATTGTTTTTTACATGTTTGTTGCTATTTTCAATTTGTCGCCCGAAATCCCCCTGTAAGAGGACACGCCCGACTTAGGGCAAGGGCATAGATCAGCCTGGACCGATTCAGGGAGGGCCGCTGTGCTTCCCAGCGCTCGGACGAGACTTGTGGTGTGCTCGAGTCGCTGGCTCAGTGACCTCCTCGGCTCCCTCCTCAGGAGCAGCTTTTCATTCACAGTGAGCGGCCTCCTGGACGCCGAACATGGCGAAGAGAATCTTCAGAGGAGGACCTGTCGAGACGACGGCAGTTGGCCTTCGGGGGGCTCCGCACTGCCATTGCTGGACGCAGCTCGGAGATTATAAGATATTGGACCCGAGAGGGATCCAGATCCAGGGGCCGATTTTGAGCTGTCGTTGTCTCAACTCGCCTTGCTACGCAATCCGACTCTTTTTGTTGTTCGAGTCGCCCAAGGCTTGTTCCCAACGATCCTGTGGTGCCGGGTCCTCATTTCAAGGAGGCAGCGCCCCGCGTCTCCTTCCCGCTGACCCCTCCTTACATCTGCTGCCCGCATCAGTCAACCACTGAGCCACTCCGCACACACACACAGTACAGCGTCTCGCGGCTCCATAGGGAGTTACACCTAATGTCCGAGCGGCCATGTTCGCATGTGATCGCCCCACCTATTTCGGCGCACCCCTCAGTCGTTTCGTGGTTCCACAGAGATCTCCACCTAAGGCCACAATGGTGATGTTCGCATGTGGCCGCCCGCCCATTTCGGCACACACACCTCACGCGCTTCGTGGCCCCATAGGGATCTCCACCTCAGTCCACAGTGGTGATGTTCGCGTATGGCCGCCCCGCCCAATTCGGCACACCTCACGCGCTTCGTCCCCCTATAGGCTCCCAGTGGCCCTGTTCGCATATGGCCGCCCCGCCCATTTCGGCACACTCCTGTCACGTTGCGTGGCCCCACGCGGAGCTCCACTTGAGGTCCCATGTGGCGACGTTCGCACGTGGCCGCCCGCTCCACGCATTTCGGTGCACCCCTCACGCGCTGCGAGGCCTCACAGGGGGCTCCACCCGAGGCCCCCAAAAGTGATGTTCGCGTGTGGCCGCCCCGCCCAGTTCGGCACACCCATCACGTGTCTCGTGGCCCCACTGGGAGCTCCACCAGAGGCGCCAGTGGCGATAACCACATGCGCCCGCCCCACGCATTCCGGCACACCCCTCACACGCTTCGGCCTTGCAAGAAGCTCCACCGAAGGCCCGAGAGCTAGGTCGTCGTGCCACGCGCCCTGGTCCCACAGGTAGCTCCACCGAAAGCCTCTGTGACAGCGCCCGCATGGCGGCCCCGCCCGCTTTCGGCACACCCTCACACGCTTCGTGGCTCCATACCTGAAGCCTCAGTGACAGCGCCTGCATGGCAGCCCGCCCCATTTCGGCACACACACACACACTTCGCACGCTTTGTGGCCCCATGAGGAGATCCACCGAAGGTGACACACACACAACGACTGTAGTGGCAACTGCATATGGTTGGGCCCTTCGCTAGGCTATCTTTCTAAGGTGGTGATGATCGGATGGAACGACTCCGTGGGGTCGATGATGCCCGAGCTGGACCAGCTCGTGGGCCCTGGCTCCGAAGTCATCATTTACTCCCCGTGGCCCATCGCGGAGCGCGAGAAGTTTTTGCATTCCTCGCAGGTGCGGCGGCAGTGCTTCTACAAGCACCTGAAGGTCCAGAGCGGGCTCATTTTAGATTCGGAGGAGGGCGGGGACCATGAGAAGAACGAGGTTCAGTAGGAGCAGCAGGCGCAGGAGACAGCTGGAGGAGAGAGAGGATGAGAAGGAGTCTCAGGGAGGAGAAAGGGTGTTCACGCTTCGGTCGGTTCGGTTGAGTCGCAGTCGGTTGCGTTCCCGTCGGCTCGGTTCAGTCGTTCATCCTGTCGTTTCCGCGTCGTTGTGCCCTTCTAGACTGCTTTCTGCCTCCGTTTCGGTCGATTTCGGTTTCGCTGTCGATTCGGTCGGTTTTCGGTTTTGCTTTCGCCTTGTACGGCCACGTTGATGAGCGCCCTATTATGATCAGCCATGGTTTTTGGGCGATCGTAGACAGAACAATCACGCACATTGATACACATATATGCAGGTTTGGGGCGTTTCAGACAGGCCCTCGCTCTCGATGGTCGGAGGAGTTGCCATCTCTTCCTCGGCGGAAGGCCAACGGAAGGCGGCGGAAGTAAAATGAGGCCGCCTCCGGACGGAAGGTTTGCGGAAGCCAGCAGAAGTGAACACCAATTCCCCAAGAGATGGTAATGCTTTTGGGATGTTTTTTCTGGACCAGTCACGTGTGTATAGATAAAGGCCTATGTTTATACACATATTTGTATAGGTGGGGCAAGGGGGGAGACCACCCAAAGTGGCGAAGACGTCCTCATCTATTATGTGCTGTGCCTTTTCTGCAGCTTCTCGAAGGTGACGCACCGAGAGGGCGTGCTCGGCGCCAGGTACCAGCTCGAGGAGCTTCCCCTGGAGCGCGCCTCCAAGGTTTTTATCATGGCGGACTCTGCCGAGACCTCTGCCGAGAAGGCAACGGCTGTCGAATGGTTGCGATGCTTCCACTCGCCTTGTCTCCCTTCTCATACGAATCATCATTGGGAGACGACTTTCTACGCATGTTTCCCAAACAGTGAGGGTGCCATTTAATTTCTAAGGCACTGGGCCTGAATGTCGGTCTGCCGGCTATGTTGTCGCCGTCGCCACCCTGTCGCCGCCTCGTCGCCGCCTATCGTCTGGGCCTGGATGTCGGTCTGGGGGCCATGTTGTCGCCGTCGCCACCTGGTCGCCACCCAGCGTCTGGGCCTGAATGTCGGCCTGTTGGCTATACTGTTGCCGTCGCCGCCCCATCGCCGCATCGTCGCCGCCCGTCGTCTGGGCCTGAATGTCGGTCTGGCGGCTGTTGTCGCCGTCGCCGCCCCGTCGCCGCGTCGTCGCACATTGATAGCACATGCTAATATTGCAGATATTGCAGCGCATAGGTGCACCGCCGTATATATATATATATATAGAGAGAGAGAGAGAGGGCAAGAGAGAGAGAGAGAGAGAAGAAAAAGAGAGAGAGAGAGAGAGAGAGAGAGCGCGCAGACCCAGCGCGAACGGACGGCCGGGAAGGCGGACGCGCACACGGTGGCAGCCATACTGCAGGTGCGCGACATCCTGCTGGAGAGGAGCAACATCGAGCACCTGTCCGACGTGGTCATCGTGCCGCAGGTGCTGCGGCGCCCAGGGAGGGGGCAGGCCGAGGGCCGAGGGCCGGCCCTCCAAGCTCGCAGGGGGGAGCTCCTCGGAGTCTCGACTGTTTCACGCAAGAGGGACCCTTCCGCGAAGAGACCTTTTGGTGCGGGCCCACCGGGGCCCCCCGATCGCCGATCGCGACGCCGTGGTGGCGTCTTGCGCGCCCGGGTCTGGCCACCCCGCGTCCCCCCCGTGGAGCCGCGCACCACGGGTCGATCTTGCGCAGGGCCACCTGTGCATGCAGCCGAGAGACCTGCGGGCAAGATTCATGTCCATATCCCGTGCGTCTTGGATGTCCTTTCCAAGGGGGCGACGCAAGGCCGAAGCGCACTGGATATTGATCAGCATCGAGACTCTATGGGGGCAGGTTTTTACACACACACACACACACACACACACGATCTACTTGTACGTTGATGACATCGCCCTGCGGGTCATGTCCACCGAGGCGCGCGTCTTGCACATGCTGCCGCAGGCCACGCGCTTGCTGTTTTGGATGCTGGAGTCCTTCTTGGGCCTGGAGGTAGCCCGAGCGCGGGACGGGGCGAGAGGCAAGTGCTCTTTCCTGCAAACGGCCACTCCGTCTTCAGGCTTGACGCAGGCCATGGCCGTCCTGGGAGTACCGCCCAGCACCTCCGAGCGGTGGCTCGGCATCGACTACGGTCCCAGCGTCAAAACAGAAAACCAGTCAGCCCCAGTCAGACACGCGCGGCTCAAGATAGCCAAGCAGCGTTGGCCTAAGATCCGCGGCCTTCCTCGTGCACGCGGGGGCAAGCTCAAGATGGTCGTGCGGCAGGGCCTCGGAGCCTCGGTCGCCTACGGCGCCCGTGTCCGCGGCACGCCCAGGCCCATCGTGCGTTTCATCCAGCAGAAGGATCGGGCCGTCCGCAGGGGCGCCACAGCTTTTACCTCCCGAGTCTTGCACGACGGCCTCGACCCCAGTTGCGCCGACACCCTCGTTCTGGCACCGCTGCTGGCTTGGGCGAGGGAAGCTTGGGACCACCCAGAGGGGCGGCGTGCGCAGGCCACAGCATGGGCCCGAGTGCAGCAACAGCTCGCGCTGTACATGGACGCCGACGCTCAGGAGTTGTGGTCAGTGGTGCGCGGCCCAGCGGGGGCCACCTCAGTCACAGTTCGAGCCCATGGTTGGAGCATGCCGTCAGCCTTCGAGATTGTCTTGCCTCCACGTGGCGGGGTGCTCCAAGGAGGGGACGTCCATCTTGATCTACTGCAGATTTGCCCCAAGTCGGTCGAGGCCGCCGTGCTTTTGGCCGCCCGTTCCAGAGCCCTGTGCCAGTGGGCGGCGGCTCAGCCCGAGCGGGCTGCGCTCCTGCCAGCGCCGTGGCTCACCCCAGCGAGGCAGTTGGTCAAGCGGCGCAAGCAGGACGGGTGGCTGCAACACCATGCCGACGCGGTCAAGAAGGCGGTGTTGGGCGGTTTCCCTTCGCAGGAGGCCCTTTTCTCTTCGGGCCAGGCGGACACTTGCCAGCAAGCGACACGAACCCACCATATTACTGGCGGTGCGGAGCCCGGCGTGTGTACGGTGAGGGAGCAGCTGACGGCCCACGACGCGTCACCTACCTTCAGAGACGTCGGCCACCTGGGCGTGTCGGCCTCCTCGTCGGAAGCCTCACGATGGTTGTGGGAGCGGGGTTTGCGGCGAACCCCATGTTACGGCTTGGCTTGGAGTCTACCGTCGCAGCGCACCCATTGGATCGTCAATGGCGCGGCCCCCGAACTCACCGATGTGCTGGTTTCGGACGGATCAGTCAAAGGCTTGGATGACCTCAGGCACGGCGGCTGGGCGGCTTTGCAGTGCACAGCGGAGGCCGACGACGTGGTGCAGGGCCTGTACGGCCCACTGCCCTTTCCCGACCCCAGCTCGGTCCTGGCAGAGTTGTGGGGTCTCCTCCACGCCCTCAGGCATTCGGTCTTCATCACGGCCATCATCATTGACAATGCTCAGGTGGTCCAAGGCTTGGCTCGTGGCAGGGCATGGTGTTGTTCAGCGGCCAGGCCCTATGCGCACGTCTGGCTCGAGATCTGGGATCGCCTGGATGACATGGACATCCTTCCTGGCAGAGAGTTGTCGGTCATCAAAGTCGCCTCGCACATATCGCAGGCCAAACGCCTAGAGCTGCCAGAGGAGGTCCAGATTCACATGAGGCACAATGACTTAGCCGACGAATGGGCCAAGCAAGGAGCAGACCTCAGCGCGCCGCCAGAGTGGGCCACGTTGCAGGTCAAGCAGGAGCTCAAGGCCACCAAGCGCGTGCTCGAGTACATCGGGCACTTCAGGGTCCTCCTCGACGGGGTCAAGTTGGCGGAGCCTAGGCCCAAACGACAGCAGGGCCAAGAGGCCAACATTCCTCAGGCTGCACGACCCCAGGCTGGCCCCAGGCACCCGCACGTTCTGGAAGTGTGCCGCGGTTATTCCAAGTGCACCAACTGCGGCAAGGTTGCCCGCACTCGCCTCGCGGCCTTTCAGTTGCAGGAGTGCCGTGGTCGTCTCCAAGGGCTCCAGGGCAAGTTAGTCAAGAGTGCGGCCAAGAGAGGCAGTGTGGCGGTGCCTCTTCTCGTGGCGGCAGGCGCCGCCGCTCGGCCTGTGCGACAGCGAGCAGACCATGGAGACCAGGGTGAGCCTCGAGTAGAGCCCGACCCTGCGCCTGCCTCCCAGCTGGGCCCCGACCCGCTGTGGGCTCCTGTCGCAGCAGCCCGCGCGGCTCTTGGCAGGATGGAGCGGATACCTGACGGCCCTGCGTGCATGGGAACCCCGCCAAGCCAGCCACACATCACGCCCGAACAGCAGCATGTCCGTTCCATCATGGACGATGCCATCATCTGGGCGTCTTTCTGGATCGATCGTTTCGACGTGGCAGGCTTCACCAACGAGTGGGACTACCGTACGTGGTGTTCGGAATATCTTGAAAGGTTTCTCAGCTCGGCGGCGTGGGCGCCAGTTCGAGAGCATCTTCTACGTAGCAACCCTGGCCGCACTCTCGGGCAGGTCGTCGACGACCTATGCGCCACTTCTTGGACGCGTGCCGAACCAGCCCGTCAGGCTCAGTTCGCCAGGGTACGGCCTGACTCGGGTTTGACAGCCAGGCAGCGCCGTCGGCTGCTTCGGCATCACTTCGATGTGTTGAACCAGGTCAGGGAGCGTTTCAGGGATCTTCTTGGAGATCGTGCCCCGCCTGAGACGGCCTCCTGGCACCAGTGGGTCTTCGAGCCCCTCTCCTCGGATGACGACCAAGGAGGTGATGCGGCAGGCCGCGCCGCCGAGGACGCCCATGGCTACGACGATACCGACGAGCTCGCGGCCCTCAGCGTGCACAGCGACCTCGAGGTGGTGGAGGCAGACGGCAAGGCCACGCAGGCCACAGGCACCCAGGCGTCAGAGCGCGAGTCGTCGCCCAATCCCGACCTCGCCCCCAGGGCACTCCAGCCACAGGAGGAGGGAGCTCCAGCGGGAGGGGCGAGGCGGGAGGGTGTTTTGCGGATCCGCAGTGCGGCAGCCACCTGTTCCCAGGACGTGGACGACGGTGCTACGGCTGGCGCTGGGGCAGCTCCTGTTCCCACGGTGCCGCCTGCTGCTCAACCCGCTGGCGAGCCTGGAGCTGATCTGGGCGAGTTGGCCAGCTCCCTGGACGTGGGCGGCAAGGCTGCCACCCAGGCAGCGGCCGCTGTGTGCTCCGCCCCCTTGGCGGCACACCAAGCTCGTGCTGGCCAGGGCAGCCTGAAACACGGTGGTAAGGCCCCAAGGACTGGTTCCTCAGCATCCTCGGCGGCGGCGGCGGGCTCTGGCCAGGGCGGCCTGGCACCGCTGGCGGGGTCCCCGCCGCCCTCGGCTGGGGCTGCGGCGGCCTCGGAGCCAGAGCGGGGCGCGCGCGGGCGGGCGGCCTCTGCCCAGCCCGCCAGGAGTGGCCAGGCGCTGCCTGCGACGGCCAGAGCCGCTTCATCGGAGCCTCGGCCACATACGGTCGAGATCATTGGCAACTTCGTGGTCTGCGTCGTGTGCGGTTCCTACTACAGCTCGGTGGCCAGGAACCTCGGCGGGCCGTGCAGGCGGCTGGGCCCGCGCGACCCAGGCGACAAGGAGCGCCTCAGGCGCATTCGCCGCATCCAGCGCGGCCAGGACCCAAAGACTGGAAGGGATCTGAGATGAGGCCGTTGTGCTCGTTCAATGATCTGTCTGGTCTCAGTGCGTGCGGCCCCCCTTGGCGCGGTGTTATCCGTGAGCTGAGGGGCCTGGGCGGGGCTGCCGCCCCGCTCGGGGCGCTCGGGCCTGCTTCCCCGCGTTGCGGGTGGCCTGGGCGCGGCGCGTTTCTCGCTGCGTTTCGGCCCCCCTTGGCAGCAGGCTGAGGGGCCTAGGGTGGGGCGCGGCCTCGAGAGGGCCACGGCGCCGCCGCCCTGGGGAGCGCGCGGGGGCGCTGCCCGCGGCTCGGCTCCTTTCGGGCTCGGCAGGCGACGGACGTCGCTCGAGGGCCCAGCGCACGGGCCTGGCGAGGTGCAGACGCCCCAGGCCGCCGACGCACCAAAGCACCAAAACACACACACACACAAACACACACATACACACACACACACGCACACGCACACGCACACGCACACGCACACGCACACGCACACGCACACGCACACGCACACGCACACGCACACGCACACGCACACACACACACACACACACACACACACACACACACACACACACACACACACACACACCCAGTGCGCCTCGGGTCTCCGGGGAAAGGGGCCCGAGAGCCCAAGCTGCAGTCGCTATGGGCAGGAGTAGTGCCCATAAGACCGCCTCGCCCTCTCGAAGCTCCGTCTTGGATCCCCCCCGGGACCCTTCCGGGAGGCCTCCCGCTCCTGGGCAGGGCGCCCCCGGCGCGCTGCCCCCCCCCCACCCCTCGGCCCGAGTCCGCGGAGCGACGGCCCCCCGAGGACCCCTCTCGGGGTGGCGCCCGGGCCCCTCTCAGGAGCTGCGGGTGGCAGCGAGGGCCCTCCCATGAAGCAGCGTGCGCACACGGAGCGGAGACCAACGGGGTGCCGATGCCGCTGCTCCTCGGACCTCTCCCGGAGTGCGCTCTGGCCACGAGGGTGGCGGTGGCGACGAGGGCCTCCCAGCGGGCCCAAAAGTGCGAAGACGAGAGAAAGGTAAGGTTGTGGGTACCCTTTTCCTCTTCTGAAGTAGGGGCGCGCCGCCAGCAGGTGCTTGGCGAGATGGCCGTGGACGCCTGCATCTTCAGCGAGCTCTCGGACTACATCCACTCCACCAAGCTGTCGGCCAGCGTGCTGGCCTCTATCCTCGAGGTCTAGGGGCATACAGTGAGCGGCCTGAATGAGGAACACTTACTATAGTCAAGAGGAGCTCGGTCGTTCCTTAGGCTCGCATGCTTGATGTATCGTTCCCTATGCGTTATCCCTTGGAAATGAGGGGCTTCGTTCCTTATTGATCGTTCCTTAGGTCAGGCCGAGGACTGTAGCCAACCTCGGGGCGACATCCTCAGAGACGGGTAGGCTCAGGGCGGACGCCTCGACCCCCGATCGCCCAAAGTCAGAGGAGGACAAGGCACCCATACCACTGCCCTGCCCTCGTTTTCCCGCTGTGGGGCCTCCTGGCCCTCCTCCTCGCCTTCGTCCTCCTCCCCCTCGTCGTCCCCCCCCCCCTTCGCCGCCGCCGTCGTCGCTGTCGGTGCCTGCACGGCGTCTTCTTGTTTCGCAGCCGCGCCTCCGGCAGCGGAACTTGCTGTTTCACTTATTTGCCAACGCACCTCTGACGTGCACGGCGCTTCTCTCTCTCTCTCTCTCTTTGGGCCTCCTGGGAGGCCCTCGTCGCCACCGCTGGATTCGTGTCGAAATCCTCCTGGGAGAGGTCCAGCAAGTAGCGGTATCGGTACCGATTGGTTTCCCCACATTGATCGCCGATGGGGTCTTGATAGCCAACCCCGCCCAGGGCCATGCAGATTTGCTATCGGCGGCTTGTCGCCGCGATGCAGCGCCGATACCAGTCGATGCTTCCGCCCCTGAGCCAGTTCCCCCCCCCCAACGTTCCTTATTGTCGGCGTCACACCTATGTACTCATACTAGTCTAAGCTCAGTGGCGGGCGCGTTCTGGCCACACCGCTGGAAACAAGCTACCACAAGATGGTTGTACTGCATGTTAGGGTCAGAAGTGTACCCCCAAGGAAGACGCATCGTCTCAGTGTGTCCTTGTGCGTCCCACGCTGGGGCGGCGAGAGCATTAATGTTCATCCGGGCAGCCCCCATTTCTCCTCCTGGCCCCCTCCCCGCCTCAGGAGCAAGCCCAGGACTTCGGGCGCCCTGGCAGAAGTAGGGGCGGCAAGCTTTTGGCTTTCGAGGCTTAGGGTCTGGTCTTTAGGGGCTCTGCTCCCTCGCACGGGCCAGGGCCCTGTGCCTGGGCTTTAGAGGCTCTGGTCCCTCCCAGGGGCCATCGAAAGTCGCTACAGTCAGGGCGCTGAACGAAGGACCATGTCGGGATGTGGAGCGCATGTGGGTTCCACAGGAAACGATTGTTTCATATAAGATGTCGAAAAGAATCCTTGTGGAAAAAGAGGCGCCGCTGGAATCTACGAGTCCCCCCGCATCATCCCAACTTCTCTCAACTGCGTCCAGGAGGCTCCAACTGAATTGGCGATCCGAGAACAAAGTGGATTGATTCAGTCGACCATTCTGCGGTGCGCGCTGAGATTCGCAGGTGCGATGTAGCGCCGACCCGCACGACAGGGGGGGAAGGGTGAGGGAGGAGGAAGAGTAGGAGGAGGAGTAGGAGGAAGAAGAGGAGGAAGAGGAGGAGGAAGAGGAGGACGAGGAGGTGGAAGTGCAGGTCGAGGTTGAGGTGAAGGAGGAAGGAGGAAGGAATAACGTCCCTTTCTATTATCAACACTTCCCTGGCGTGGCGTTGAGCTATCCGCAGCAGATCCTCACTGACATGCTCTTTCTACCTGTCCTGACCACGCAGGCGGTGTCGTGTACACAAACGGTGCGTTGCACGCGAATGTTGTGCTGTAGACAGGCGCCGTGGTGTGCACAGGCGCTGCGGTGTACGCAAGCATTGTGGTGTACATGGGCGATGTGTTGCACATGGTTGTTGCGGTGTACACATTCGCTGTGGTGTACTCCAGCGCTGTCGTATACACAAGCACTGTCATGTACGCAGGCGCTGCGTTGCACACGGCTGTTGCGGTGTACGCAGGCGCTGTGGTGTACACTCGCGCTGTCGTGCACGCGAGCATTGCGGTGGCGTGCACAGGCGTGCTGGGGCAGATCGCCACCTACATCTTGTTCCTATGTGGCCCTGGCCATCTCTAGGCATTCCTGGACGCCCCCGGCGCGGAACGTGACGTCATCTGGGGAGGGGAAGGCGGGGCCGATGACGGCCGTTATCCTGGAAAATAAACAAACAGGCCCGTGTGGTTCCGGAACCACACGGCGGGGGGGGGGGTGTTACGTTATACCCATTACCGCCGAAGATATAAAAATGCGTTCCAGGACCTTGAACTTCGCGGCGGTTTTCCATTTGTGTAACGGTTGGGGTCGTTTGCCTTCTGAGGGTGCATCTGCACACAGATGCCCAAACAAATATTTTCCAACCGCCCTGTGATGTTGGACCCCTGTTTTGAACTAGCATTGCCTCGCGTCACTAACTCCTTCCGCCTCCCCTGCCTCCCCATCGCCATCATCACTTCAATTTCGGCACACCCCTCACAGGCTTCATGGCCCCATAGGGAGCTTCACCCAAAGCATCCGTGGCCGCGTTCACATGCGTTTCCGCCTCTCAGTTCGCCACACCCCTCACACGCATCGTGGCCCCATAGGGAGCTCCACCGAAGGCTCCAGTGGCTGCGTTCACATGCGTCCCCGCCGTTCAGTTCGGCACATCCATCACACGCATCGTGGCCCCACATGGAGCTCCACCGAAGGCCCCAACAGCTGCGTTCGCATGCCTCTCTGCTTGTCATGTCGGCACACTCCTCACACGTTTTGTGGCCCCATAGGGGGCCCCACCGAAGGCCCCAGTAGCTGCGCTCGAACGAGCTCCCGCCCTGCAAGTCGGCGCAACCTTCGCACGTGCCGTGGCCCTACAAGGAGCCTCACCGAAGGCTCTAGTGGCTGCGTTCGCATGCCTACCCCCGAATTTCAGTTCGGCACATCCCTCACACGCGCAGTGGCCCCACAAGGGGGCCCACCGCGTCCGTATGCGCCCCTGCTTTTCAGTTCGGCAACACCTCTCACCCGCTCCGTGGCCCCGGAGGTAGCTCCACCGAAGTCCCTTGTAGCTGCGCTCGCATGCGCCCTCGCCTTCCAGGCTGGCACAACCCTCACACGCGTCGTGGCCCTATAGGGAGCTCCACCGAGGGCTCCAGTGGCTGCGTTCGCGCGCGTCCCCGCCTGTTATTTCGGCGAGACCTCCCACACAGCCCCCGTTTTGTATAGTTAGCTCCACCTAGGCCCCAGTGGATGCGCTTGCGTTCGTCCTTGCTTTTCTGTTCGGCACACCCCTCACACGTGCCACTGCCCCATAAAAGAGGGGTCCGCCGAAGGCCCCAATGACTGCGTTCGCATGCGCCCCCGCGTTCAGTGTAGGAAAAGCCCAGCACACGCTGGCCTGCGCTGGGCTGGACGGGGTTGGACTTGGCGGCGCTCTGCTGCACTGGGCTAGATTGGACTGGACTGGAATGGCCTTCGCAAGACTGGATCGGCCTGCGTGGCTGGGCTTCGATTGGATTGGTCGGGACTGGACTGGACTGGGCTGGACCTCTGTGGGCCCCGGAAACGGCAGGGCCGTTTTTTCACCGTTTCCCCAAAAAGTGCCCCTTGAAAATGGAAACGGCAAAAACACGGTGACCGGAAACGGCAAAAAAACGGCTCCAGGATTGGAACCGGAGCCGGAACCGGTCAAAAAACGGCGACGGAACCGGTAAAAAAACGGCGTCGGAACCGGCAAAAACAATAAACCCGAACCGGTAAAAAAACGGCCCTGTCGTTTCCAGGGCTCACTAAGGGCTGGACTGCCTTGTTTAAGATGGAGTTGAATGCAATTGGTTCGGCCTGGATTGGATTACTGGGCTGGATTCGCCGGGATTGGATTGGATTGGGCCTTGTCTGTTCTGGACTGGATTGGTCTGAACTGGATCTGCTTGGACTGGACTAGATGTGATTGGCCTGCCACGGGCTGGACTGCATTGGACTGGACTGGAATGGATTGGCCTTGATTTAATTGATGTGAACCGTGTTGGCATTGCCTGTCCTGGACTGGATTGGCGTGACCTTGTTGGACTGGATTGAATTGGCCTGGACTGGAATGGATTGTCCTGAGCTGGGCAGGCCGGATTGGGGACTGGACTGGATTGGATTAGAAGCCTCGATTAGGCTTAATCTCAGCGTGTCATGGGCACGTTTTGGGACCCAAGACACATACATAAGGCCCCCTGCTAAGGATCTAAAGCAAGGGCCCTTATCGAAGACGCTTACGGCGAGCCATCTCCACCCCCTGCATGTTGCAAATGCCTATGCAGCCAGGAGTTGGGCCGAAGTGTTGCCAAGCCATTAGACTATGTGTTCCCCCAGCGATTGGGGAATGTCTTAGGGAATGAGGAGGAGGGGGATTCTACCAGACTCTGCAGGCCAGACCTCCCCAGACCTCCAGAGACTCGAAGCTCGAATTTTGGCGGCGCTAGAAGCCTGGTGACTTTGCTCAATATTTGTATCCTGTGGTGGGGTGCCTACCTGCCTGCATACGCCCGACACGCCCAGCCATGACCCGAGGGTTTCTCCCATGACAGCTGGCCAGCAAACCGACCCACCTGTCGGGAGCGTACCCGGCAGACCGACGGCAGAAGATGACTCTGGGGAGGCAGGAGGCATCCTGGTTGTTGACTCCGTACCCAGATGACGCTGGGCAGACCCAGGCGAGGGCTCGTCGACCCTGCCCCCGTCCCCGACCAACCCACCCCTCGCTCCCGGGTGCCAGGTTGCGGAGAGTGGGGGTGATGCGCGGCCCCCTTGCCAACCCACCAGGCTTGGGCACAGGGGAAGAGGAGGAGGAGGCGGAGGAGGAGGAAGAGGAGGAAGATGAGGAGGAGGGGGAGGATGAGGAGGAGGCGGAGGAGGAGGAGGAGGAGGAGGACGAAGGGAGGAGAAAGGAAGAGAGGACGAGGAGGCCTCTTTGGGCGTCTCTTGGGGCTTTGGGGGGGGGCTTGCAGAGCAGCCGCAATGCTGATCGCTGGACGATTTCGTTTTTTCCTTCGATCCCCACAGACCATTTGCATGCCCCCCGCTCCCCAAGCTGCGAGGTCCAAAGTCCCTCCCTGCATTCCCACACCCCTCCCCACTTCATTCCAGCTCCTCCTTCTCCTCTTCCTCCTCCTCCTCCTCCTCCTCCTCCTCCTCGTGAACCCCTTTGGGCACGCTGGAACTCCTCCTCCTCCTCCTCCTCCTCCTCCTCCTGCTCCTCCTCGTGCTCCTCCTCTCTCACCCCTCTCTCGTCCCCCCCTGGCTCTCGCGGTGAGAGCTTCCAGCAGAACGGCGCGCAGACTGCTGCAATGCCGAGTCCGACCGACCAACCCTCCCTCCCCCTTTCTCAGTCCTCCCTCCTCCTGCCTCCTCCCCCCTCGTTCCTTCCTCCCCTCCTTCCCTCCCCTCCCTCCCTCCTCCTCGTCCTCCTCATCTTCCTCTCCTCTCCTCCTCCTCCTCCTCCTCCTCCTCCTCCTCCTCCTACTCTCCTCCTCCTCCTCCTCCTCCTCCTCCTCCTCCTCCTCCTCCTCCTCCTCTCCCCCCCTCCGAGGTCCCGGACCTCGCCCCCGTGCTGAGGGACCTCGTGAAGTCCAGGAGGTACACGGGCGCCAGCCTCTACATCCGCCGGATCAGGGACTACGCCCGTCCAGACAGCCTGCCCGAGGAGCTCCCGCTGCCGCGGGCCCTCGAACGGTGCGAGTGTCCGCACCGTGCGGTGATCCAGCGGGGGTTTCAGGGTGACCGCACTGCTTTTGTGGCTCGGGTCGCTCTCCGAGGGCGTCTCGGGCGGCTGAGGCCTCCAGGGTCCCAAGCGGTGCTGTGATGGGTCGTGCGTTGAGGCGGTGAGGCAGTTTAGAGGATGTCAAGATCACCGCAAGGTCTGTCACCGCAAGGTTTCTTGGGACCCCCAAGCCCTGCCGCCCGACGTCGTCGAGGGTTGTCGTCGTCGTCGTCGTCGCGGGTCGTCGTCGTCGTCGGGGGTCGTCGTCGTCGTCGTCGTCGTCGACGTTGTCGGCAGTCGTGCTCTGCAGAGCGGTGCTGATTATGATTATCATGATGACGGTGATGATGATGGTGATGTGATGGTGATGATGCTAATGTTGATGATGATGATGATGATGATGCTGATGATGATGATGATGATGATGGTGGTGATGTTGGTGATGATGATGGAGGTGGTGGTAATGGATGTGATGATGGTAATGGTAGTGATGATGATCCTTGTGAGTATGGCGATGCTGTTGCTGTCGCTGTTGTCCATGTTGATGTTGATGCTGATGATGTTGACGATCTTGATACTGATGATGGTGCTGCTGATGATGATGAGGATGCTTCTGATGATGATGATGATGATGATGATGATGATGATGATGATGATGATGATGATGATGATGATGATGATGCCTACGGTACTGGTGATTGTCTTGTTGATGAGGGTAAGGATAAGGAGCAGGAGGAGGCAGAGGAGAAGGTGACGGGGAGGCGAGAGGGAGGGACGGCGCCACGTTTGGGGAGGAGAAGGTGGAGCGGGACATGGAGGATGAGCAGGAGCTGGGCAAGAAGGACTCAGGGTTCGACATTACACGGACTGCAAGTCGGCAGAGAATTTTGAAGGAGGAGGAGAACGGCATGTATGATAGGGACGGTGCCGCAGCAGCCTGCTGGCAGACCCCACCGCCGTGCCAGCACAGCTTCGCAGCTGGAATGAGGATGAGTCCAAGATTCTCCCGGGTGGCTGCTCTGTTTGCACCGCCACGGGTCTTGAACACCCCTTCCTCGTCCGCGGTCTCGTCCTTCTCGTCCTCCGCGGTGCCCATCTTTCTCTCCCTCTTTTCTCTTGCAGGGATCCTTGAAGCCTCTCGGGGGCTCTTTGGGGTCTGCTGGGGAGCCTCCTGGGGTCCTGTCTGGTGCCAGTCGGGGTAATCTGCGCCGCCTTGGCGCGACGGTTCGGCGAGCTCTCCCGACGAGGCTCCGTGCACACCATCTTGGGGACGTCTGGGCCCGTCCTGGGGCCGTCCTGGATCCCCTGTGGCAGGCAGCATTGGGCAGGATTCCCTTCGTTCTCCTCCCTTCTCCTCGTCTCGCCGGTGCTTTCTGACTTCTGGGAGTCTGCTGTACATGAGGCCACTGGTCAGTCTCTGCCGCGCATCGCCACGGATTGCACGGGTCACTCGTGAGATGTTGTGGTCGCCCCCGTAAGGCGAGGGAACCTTCCGGCGAGATCTCTGAGTGAGAATCATAGTCTGGGTTCCAGAGAGGACGCCAGGGATCAATACCCGTAGGGTCGGAGCCCACGCGCGGGTCGGGGTGCGGCGCCAGCCAACTGACAAAGGGTCGGACCAGACAACAGACAGTCATTCTCACAACGGGTGAGGAAGAGGAGGAGGGGGAGGAGGAGGAGAAGGATGAGGATGATGAGGGGGAAAACGAAGAACAAGGTCAATGCGGAGCAGGAAGGGGAAAGTGAGAGAGAGAGAGAGAGATGAAGAGAAAAAGAGAGAGAGAGAGAGGGAAAGATGTAGAGATAACTACTCAGGGAGGGAGGAAAGAGAGAGAGAGAGAGAGACTGAGAGATAGGGGAGGTTGGGAGCGTGGTATCGAAAGAGGCATGGAGGGAGGTAAACATGGAGGGGGATACGGAGGAGGAGCAGGAGTTCAGGGAGGATGAGGAGGCGAGGGGAGGAGGAAGAGACAGAGGTACGGATTTATGATGGGATGGGGGAGAAGCAAGAGGATGACCAGGAGGGAAGAGGGAGGGGAGGTGGATAAGGAGGATGATCAGGAGGAGAAGGAGGAGGAGGAGGGGCATAAGGAGGAGGAGGAAGAGGAGGAGGGAATGAGGGAGGCAGGGCAGAGGGTGGAGGAGGAATGGGAGTAGGAGGAAGGGGAGGTCTGGGGGGCGTACATTGATGAAAGAGGAGGAAGTCAATGCAGTAAAACGACCCGCCCGACTAGCTTGGCCTGAAATTGCATACTTTTCCTTTATCAGTCCCATCCCCCCCGTTATCCTGCTTTTCCACCTGCGTTTTCCCTTTCACAAGTAGTTGACATGAATGCTACTCCCCTCTCTCCCCGGACTCTGTCGGGAAGATGTCAGACCCTCTCCGCGCACTGTTGTTCCCAACCATCCTGTGGTGTTGGGTCCTCGTTTTGAACAGACAGCGCCCCGCGTTCCTGCCTTCCTTCCTTCCTTCCTTCCGTCTTCCTCCTCTCCCTCCTTCCTCCTCCCATCCTTGCCTCTGCCCTGAGCATGTCCTCGTCGTCGTCGTCATCAGCATCAGCATCAGCATCAGCATCAGCATCTGCATCAGCATCAGCATCAGCATCATCATCATCATCATCATCATCATCATCATCATCATCATCATCATCATCATCATCATCATCATCATCATCTCATCATCAGCACCGTCATCATCGTCATCGTCATCGCCATGTCATCGTCATCATCATCATCGACGTCATGATCACCACCGTTATCGTCACCATCATCGCCACCAATGTTGCCACACCCCTTACACGTTTCGTGGCCCCACATGGAGCTCCATCGAAGGCCTCAGTGGCGGTGCTCGCTTGCGTATCCCCCATCCAGGACAGCGTTTGGTGGCCCCAGAGGGCGCTGCACTTAAGGCGCACCAGTGGCGGTGTTCGCATGCGTCTCCCCCACCCAGGACAGCGTTTCATTGGCCCCACAGGGAGCTCCACCTAAGGCCCCAGGGGAGCTTCGTTTGAGGCCCCAGTGGCGGTATTCGCATGCGTCTCCCCCACGCAGGACAGCGTTTCGTGTCCCCACAGGGAGCTCCACCCACGGCCCCAGTGGCGGTGTTCGCATGCGTCTCCCCCTACCCAGGACAGCGTTTCGTGGCCCCACACGGAGTTCCACCTAAGGCCCGAATGGCGGTGTTCGCATGCGTCCCCCCCACCCAGGAAAACGCTTCTTGGCCCCACAGGGAGCTCCACCTAATGCCCCGGTGGCGGTGTTCGCATGCGTTTCCCCCACTCAGGACAGCGCAAAGCTCCACCTACGGCCCCAGCGGCGGTGTTCGCATGCGCCCCCCCCCACCCAGTACGGCGTTTCGTGGCCCCACAGGGATCCCCACCGAAGGTCCCAATGGCGGTGTTCGCATGCGCCTCCCCCACCCAGGACAGCGTTTCGTGGCCCCACAGGGAACTCCGCCTACGGCCCCAGTGGCGGTGTTCGCTTGCGTCTCCCCCATCCAGGACATCGCTTGGTGGCCAGAGGGCGCTGCAGTTAAGGCCCCAGTGGCGGTGTTCGCATGCGTCTCCCCCACCCAGGACAGCGTTTCATTGGCCCCACAGGGGGCTCCACTTAAGGCCCCAGTGGCGGTGTTCGCATGCGTTTCCCCCGCCCAACACGTGGTCCCACACGGAGCCCCACCTCAGGCCCCAAAGGCGGTGTTCGCATGCGTCTCTCCCACCCAGGACAGCGGTTCGTGGCCCCCCATCGGGCTCCACCTAATGCCCTGGTGGCGGTGTTCGCATGCGTTTCCCTTACCCAGACCGTTTCTTGGCCCCACAGGGAGCTCCACCTAAGGCCCCGGTGGCGGTGTTCGCATGCGTCTCCCCCCACCAAGGACAGCGTTTCGTGGCCCCACAGGGAGCTCCACTTGAAGCCCCAGTGGCGGTGGTCGCATGCGTTTCCCCCACCCGGGACAGCGTTTGGCGGCCCCACACGGAGCTCCACCTGGGTGGAGGTTACGGAGCCTTGCGTGGCGTGCTGCAAAGCAGGCACCGTCTCGCGGCCCACAGAGGGAGACACCCTCACACATTTCGCGCCCCGCAATAAGAACCCCCACCGGAGATTCTACACGCGATCGCAGTACCTACAGCTGAATATTGTTGAGTCCCTCGCCAGGCTCATGTTTCAAAGGACTTGACAATATTTGTTTTTTGCATCGATTGTTGCACTCCAGTTGCTTTCGGCTTTCGGTGTTTCGAAATAGTGTTCCCACTGCAGCGCGTGCCTCTTTTTCGGATCGGCGATTTGCTTCCGTCGTTCAGAGTGGCCCTTTCGCCCCAGCGCGGGCAACTTTTCTGGATATCTTTTTCCGTTGTTGTCGCGCCCCTCGTTTCTTCTCCTCATTGCCCCGGTCCTCCTGCCCCTCCCGCTTTTTCCACTCCAGCTCCTGCTGCTGGTGTTCTCCTTTCCTATCCTCCTTTTTTCTTCTTGTTCATACACCACCTACTCGAATGTACGCAGCTCCTTTTTTCCTGATTGCGCATAACTCGATGCCCCCGCTTTAGAGTTCCAGCTCCCCTATGACACACGTCGGCGAATAGAGGAACATCAACACACTAGGAACGGATGGTTGGGATGGGGTAGGAACGTCACGTATGGCGCGAGCGCACCCTGCTTGACCTCTCCCCTCTCCTGATACGGGCCTGCCTCGCTATCCTCACTCTTCTGTCCTTCTCGTCTTCCATCCTCTCCTCCATCTGACTAGCCCCCCCTGCCGCACCATCAGATGTCCCGTTGGGGCGCGCCCAGCGTTGCGCCGGAGTCTCCCTCACCGCTCACGATGTTGAAGCCTGGAGCCTCCAGCAGTTCTACGCATGGAGGCTGGACCGTTCTCAAAATGGGCCCTCGTCGTGACAAGCTCCCGCAGCTGCACGGAGGCAGGGCGGATGGTGTTCCACATGGGGCTCTCGCCCCGGCCCCGCGCAGAGTCGGCGCAACACAGTGGAAGCCCGGGCCAAGAGACACTCTGCTTGCCTTCCGGGCTGCCCTGGTTTTTACCCAACAGCGGAGACTGATAGGTTTCTAATGGGCTCAAAAGAGAGCATCTGATGACTCCCCAGGGGGGTCTGGGCGGGAGCCGGACAGGCGAGGGCCGGGCTCGTTTTAACAAACAGTCACACACTTCGTGCTCTTCGACCTCCCAGAACTCCACTCCCGGGCCACATTTTGAATCCCGGGAGCCAACTGTAGGCCACTTTGTGCTCTTCGACTTCCCAGAACTCCATTCCCGGGCCACATTTTGGATGCCCGGAGCCAACTGTGGGCCACTTCGTGCTCTTCGACTTCCCAGAACTCCATTCCCGGGCCACATTTTGGATGCCCGGAGCCAACTGTACGCCATTTCTTGCTCTTGGAGTTCCAGAACACCATTCCCGGGCCACATTTTGAATGCCCGGAGCCAACTGTAGGCCACTTCGTGCTCTTCCACTTCCCAGAACTCCACTCCCGGGCCACATTTTGAATGCCCGGAGCCAACTGTACGCCACTTCGTGCTCTTCCACTTCCCAGACTTCCAAGACTCATCATCTTCATCATCATCATCGTCCCCGTAGCCTTCTTGGCTACTGGAGGTGCCCACTTTCACGCGCAGACTACTGTTACTAGTACTGCTGCTGCTGCTGTTGCTGCTGCTAGTGTAGCTATTGCTACTGCAACTACTGGCAGTGCCACTGCGACTGCCGCTGATGTTGCCACTGCGACTGCCACTGCGAATCCGAATGCGACTGCGAGAACACCAGAATTCTACAACAGCACTCTTACATGAATACCACAGGCAATGTTTCCAGCTATGCTTCTACACATTGCTGTTCGGTTGCTTTGCCGGGATATTTTTTTAGCTCCGACGGCTTTGCTGTGGAAAGCGTGACGCCCCCGCACCGGAAATACGTGGCCGTCCTGGGGTCTCAGGGCGGTGTCTTCTGTGGAAGGTCTCTCGTGGACGAGATCCTGCCCCTGGGTTGCCGCTGTGCGCTACTGAGCTCCATATTTGTGGCCGTTTGGGCCGCAGGGGTCTCCCTCCTCCTCCATCCTCCTCCCTCCTCCTTCCTCCTCATGTTTCACGCTCCCGCTGCCGCGCAGTGTGGTGATAAGACAAGCTCTGAGGTGCGGGCTTGCGCCGAGGGGGTGTATGTATATATACATATATATATATATATATATATATGCTTATATATTGCTACCGGAGAAAGCCCCAATCATATGTTGTTTAGGGCTACAGGGCTATAGAGCTATAGGGCTAGAGGGCTACAAAGCCTATAGGGCTATAGGGCTACTTGGCTACAGGGCTACAGGGCACTAGGGCTATAGGGCGATAGAACACCTGGGCACCCCGGCACCCGGGCACCCGCGGGCACCTCCGGGCGCCCCCCGGCACCTCTGGGCACCTCCGGGCACCCTGGGGCACCCGGGCACCCAAGCACCCCCGGGCACCCGTGCACCCGGACATTTGGGCCGGCCACCGAAATCGGCGACGCACCTCACCTAACCAAATAAACCCGCTAGGACCCCTACAGAGGCAAGCTCCGATTGGGGAGAAAGGTTTCTTGTGGACGAGCTCCTACTGCAAGCCTTCCCAAAACAGCTCCAGGGATGGAGGGCGACTCGCTCGCAGCATGGGCCTCTCGCTCTGGCGCCGCGCACGCTCGTCGTACAGTGGAGGCCCATGCCAAGAAGCACCCTGCTTGCCTCCATGGTGCCCTGGGTTTCTTGGGTCTCGAGGGCTTTGCGATGGAAGGCGTGACGGTCCCACGCCAGGAATCAATGCATGTCCTGGTCTCAGGGTTGGGTTTCTTGTGGACGGTTTCGTGTGGACGGTTCTCCATTTGTTCTGTTTCCCACAGCTGCGCGGGTGCAGGGCTGGGCTCATCGCCCACCACTCCTTCACATGTTGTTGCCCGACGCATCAGATCATGCTGGCGCCACGCTGATGGAGGCCGGCTTCTTTTCAAAATGGTGCTCTCCCGTGTGTGGCTCCCTGCGCTACCAGGTTGGCAAGATGGCGCAACGTCCTCACGGATGGAGGTGGGCTTCTTTCCGAATGGAGCATTCTCGCCAGAGATCCATTCGAATTGGTTTACCGACAGTATTATCGCGGATTCAGGGCGTTTTCTTTTCAAAGCGGGGTTGCCGGTGGACGCGTCATTCATTTGTATAGCCCCACCTCTCCGCATTCCTCATCGTTCAGTTCCGATTCGTATGGGAGTTTCCCGCCCGAATCGCGGAGTGAAGAAGAACGATTGTAACGACTTGCGAGGAGGGGATTCGGGACGGGAAGGCGTATTGAAGCATTTTTTACGTATGTTTGGGTTTGCATTGGTCCTCGGATTCTTTTCCTTCCTCCTTCCCCTCTCTTGACTCAGACATGCTGTGTTGGTACGCCTGTCAAGCTGAGGAGGAGGTCGCGCTCAACTTCTGGGAGTTGGCAGAACTTGCTGCACCTTCAGGCGAGATCCTGATCGGCTACTCGGACCCCTCGAAGAAGGGCTGGACCCTGAATCCAGAGAACAAGAGCAGGTCCATCGAGTGGGACGTGGATGAGCAGTGCCTCGCCGTGGTAAAATGCAGGTGTGCGTGTGCGTGTGTGTGTGTGTGTGTGTGTGTGTGTGTAGCTGTGTGCATGCGCATGCGCGTCTGTGCGTCACTGTGTGTATACATATTTCCAAGGGGTTATCGCGTCGGGAGCGCGAATCTCATGTATTTGTTCATGTCCCACGGCCCCTCAGGAATTCTAGACGCTTCGCGTAACCCCACCAGCCCATCCAGAAACGATGCCCAGAGGAAGTCTTTTGGGGGCCTCTTGGAGTCTCTTGGGAGCCTCTTGGGGCCTCCTGGAAGTCTTCTTGGGGCCTCTTGGGAGTCTCTTGGGGGCCTCTTGGAGGCCTCTGGGCCGCCTGTTGGGGCCTCCTGGGCGCCTCTTGGGACCCTCTTGAAGCGCTCTTGGGAGCCTTGGGAGCCCTCTTGGAGCCCTCTTGGGCCACCTTGGAGTCATCTTGAAGCCTCGGATGGTCATTGGAAGCGAAAAGGCGAGAAATCCCAGCCTATTGATTTTCCTTAGGTGTTGGAAGGATGCTGGCTTCTTCGGGGCCTCCTTGGGGAGCTCTTTGGCAACTTGGAGCCGCCTTGAAGCGGTCTTGGGGCCTCTTGGAGCATCGTGGGAGCCATCTTGAGGCATCTTGGGGTATCTTGAGCCATCTTGGAGGTCATCTTGGGCTCTCCCAGGCGCTCTTGGAGTCATCTGAAGCAGTGCGCCCCGCCCCCAGGAGGCCCAAATGTGGCCAAAACCTTTTTGTAACATCGATGAGTTTGGCATTGTCACCGAGGCCTCTTGGAGCGTCTTGGGTGCCTCTGGGGGGCCGCTTGGGGCCTCGTGGGGGTCTCTTGGGAGCTTCTTGGGGGCATCCTGGGGGACTCTTGGGGGCTTCTTGGGGCCACGTGGGGCCATCTTGGGACCATCTCGGGGCCTCTTGGGGCCTCCTGGGCGCCTCTTGGGGCTATCTTGGAGGAGGTCCTAAGTTAGCCCCCCCCCGTCAGGAGGCCAACATGGGGCCAACACTTTTTAGTAGAACCAGTGATTTTGGCTTCCTCGCCGAGGCCGTTTTGGACGCTCCAACGCGTCGCGGAACCCCCCGTCCAGGTCCAGGGGAGGGGGTAGGGGGAGGGGTCAAGACGCCTTCCCCGCCCGCAAGCCGTCTCGCTCACTCCCACCCGCCCCCCCAACACATACGTAGCACCCGAGCCTGCCCCGAGCCGCAGCATATTCAGCAGTCGTCTTTGGATGGGCAACTACTGGGGGCGCATCCGCCGCCGCCGCCGCCGCCGCCGCCCGCCCCCGCCGCCGCCCGCCGCCGCCGCCGCCGCCGCCGCCGCCGCAGCCGCTGCCCGCCAGCCGCCGCGCCACCGCTGCCGCCGCCGCCGCCGCCACCGCCGCGCCGCCGCCGCCACCGCCGCCGCCGCCGCCGCCGCCGCCCCCGCCGCCACCGCCGCCGCCACCGCCGCAGCCGCCGCAGCCGCTGCCCCCGCCGCAGCCGCCGCAGCCACCGCCGCCGCCAAGTGTACTTTGTATTTCTTACGGGGATGGTGGGGGGAGGCCGCATCGGGTTCGCTGCGCATGCTCCGAATTTAGAGGCAGAGTGTGTGTGTGTGTGCGTGTGTGGTGTATTTGTTTTACAAGGAATGGTGGGGGGGTGCCCTCATTGACTCGGGTTGGCTTCCAGTCGCCTGGGGAAGCGGGTGTATATGAATAGGGAACAGTGATAGTTAAAACCCTTCCCGAAGGGGAAGTAGGAGGGGTAACAGAGGAAACATTCTAGACCACCTACGCCCAAAGGGCTGGTGGGAGTCAGAGCACCTGATTCGGGGAAGGTAACCGGACGTCGCGCGGACTTCAACTGTTTACAATCGCGCTTACGCCTCCCGCTTCCGCCTCCATCGTTCGCCTCCCGCTTCCGCCTCTCGTTTTCGTATCCCGCCTTCGCCTCCCGCTTTGGCCTCCCGCTTTCGCCTCTTGCTTCAGCCTCCCGCTGCCGCCTCCCGCTTCCGCCTCCCGCCTCCCGCTTTCGCGTCCCGCCTTCGGCTTTCGCTTTCGCCTCCCGTTTTCGCCTCCCGCTTTCGCCTTCGCCTCCCGCTTTCGCCTTCGCCTCCCGCTCTTGCCGTCGCCTCTCGCTTTCGCCTTGGCCTCCCGCTTTCGGCTTCGCCTCCCGCTTTCGCCGTCGTCTCTTCCGTCTCCTGCTTTCGCTTTCGCCTCCCATTTTCGCGTTTCCTTGTCGTGAATTTGCCCCCCACTTTCTCGTCCCGAAACCAACGCACCCATGATAGTGGGAATCGGCCGTAGCGGGCAGCCTCATGCTCCCGCGAGGGCGCGGCTGGCGCGTCTTCAGCCGCTGGCCCAGCAAGAGATGTCCACCCGGGAGCTATTGCTACCGGGGCTGGGCAGCCGCCGGGCCGATCCTTTCTGCGAGTGCTGTGCTGCACGCTGGAGCCCGCGCGTTGTGCAAGGAGGTGGAAGACGTGCGATCGGGGATCGACGTCGGCGGAAGCCTCGCCGGGATTGCGTGCAAAGGGCCGGCGTCGCAGGCCTGCAAGGGCGCGGCAGGTTCGTCCTGGGCGGCTGGTGCTGCAGGGGGGGAGCTGGGCGACTGCGGCCCGGCCAGCCGCCCTGCTCCAGCCTCTGTCGCCATCGTCTTCGGCGCCGTCGCGCTCCTGCCTCGCAGCGGGCCAGGTGCGGGTCGAGGGAGGGCCGGGGGGGGCGCGGGGGCAGGGTGCGAGGTGCGGGCAACTGGCGCGCGGTCGCGTGGCAGGCGCTCCCGGTGCAGCTGGCGCTGCAGCGGTGCAGCTGGTCCTGCGGCCTGGCCAGTCAGCCAGCCCCCCTTCCTCCCCCCTTCCCGCCAGGGAGGGCCGGCGGGCGACGAAGGGGAGGAGGCGCGGCGACCTGGCGGTCGCTGAGGCGCGGCGTCGGAACGCCGCGCTGGTGGACAGCAGGGGGCTCGCGAAGAGGATGTCGAGCGTGGCGCCGTCGGTCGCGCGGGCGGTCGCGCGAGAGACGAGGCGCTGAGCGTACTCGGCGGAGCGCATCGCGGCAGGCGCGAGGGTGCTCCCCGCCAAGACAGGACAGTTCGGGATGAAGCGGTTGCTGGGCTTTGCGTGCGAGTTGGTGCTGCCGCCTTGGAACCAGCGAGTGGCGTGCCCACTGGCCACCGTCGCGGGGCCGGTGCCTGCCGCGGTGGCGGTCCTCGGATGCCGGCCCGCGGTCGTCGGACGTCGGTCGTCGGACGTCGGGCGGCGCCGCGGAGGCCGCCAGGCCCTCTCGGCGAGGGCGCGCGGGAGAGCGGCGCGGAGAGCGCGGAGAGCGCCGCGTGGAATTGTGAGGCTCACCTCGGAGATCGTGCAGATCTCAGGAGGGGAGAAAACACACAGACACAATTCATCCTCGATCCCAAAGGACATATGGGAA